GACCGCAAAGGCCCCTTCTGATTCTGGGACTCTAGAAATTTCTTCAGCTCATGATACCCCAGCTTGTCCCTTGAGTTGACACTCAGCGTAGAGCCTTCCTCTGCTGGCTCCCAGGGCCCCTGGGCCATTAGGCAGTTTGCTCTGCCCAGGAAGTAAGTGAGCTGGGCCCAATCTGAAGTTTTCAAACTGGTTTTGGGGCCGAATCCTTTGTTCAGATGAAATGTAAAACAGATGCCCAGGATAGAGAGGCTGCCTGGCTGTAGGAGCACAGCTGGAGACCACTGCAGTAGATGATGCTAGGATAGGGGACACATGAGCCCTCGGTCTCTTCGTGACCCACCTGGCAAGCCCTTCTGACTTCCAGGGGTCTCCTAACCAGGTGGGGGGTGGGGGGCTCACTCCTCCGCTGTCGTGGGGAGGGCCAGTCTGTCCACCCCAGGGCCCCGCAGTGACCTTGCCCTTTCCCTTGTTGCCCTCACAAAGGTCTGGTGTTCCGTCCGCACGCCCGAGAGTACCCACGAAGGCCTCATCACTGATCCCCACAGCCCCTCCCGCTTCCGGGTCATCGGCTCCGTCTCCAACTCAAAGGAGTTCTCCGAACACTTCCGCTGCCCGCCTGGCTCACCCATGAACCCACATCACAAGTGTGAAGTCTGGTGAGGGGCAGAGCACCAAGCGCTCAGACAGAGGAGGGGGAGGGGCTGAGGACGAGCCCTCAGGGTGGAGCCAACAAGGCTGCCCCCTCCATCCAGTGCCCAGGGTGTCACCCAGCCCCCTTGGCCACCCATGGCCCCCTACCCTTGCACTGGAGGGTTTTCAGCTGGAACTGAGCCTGTGATGTGGGTTCTTAGCATAATCCGAGATTTGATCCCCTCTGTGAAGATCCTGTCATCCCAGGCACACGTGCGTCAACTCGAACGGGCATTTGGGCATCAGGCTGGTTGCTTACCAGGCCTGGGCCCCACGCCAACAAGGGCAGTGGGACACAGCCCCATGCCCACGTCCAGCGCCAGATACACCACAAATATCACTGTGTCAAATGCTTTAAAGATATATTTTTGGGGAAACTATTTTTTAAACATTGTGGAATACACTGGAAATCTTCAGGGAAATAATGCATTTAAAACACTTTTTTTTTTTAAAGGAAGGATTGGTATATTTATTATGTTCTGTTTTTCTAAATAACCTGTGGACAAGGGAAGCCCCACTGATGTACCCCTCTCTGTTCCTCACTCGCTGCAAGGTTGGGCTTCAGCAGTGATCCCCAGGCCAGTGAGCAGGTCCCCAAAGAGAGAGCTGCCTCAGCCCTTGGGATATAGGATTTCAGCCTCCCTCCATCACCTGATTCTGCGGTCACCTGGTGCAGAGAGGAAAGGCACGGA